AATCACAGTGGAGCCATCTAAAAATGTCTCCAGTTCCTAAAGACCCCCAGGCCTGATGACACAACCAGCTCTTGAGGGACTTCCTAAATGACAGCAGGGAAAGGGTGAACCTAACTTCAGGGGGAGAATATTCCACAGGGAGGAAGGCACGGCAGAGAAAGCCTGCCTCCTGGGACCCACCAAATGCAATTCCCTGGCTGATGGACTTGCTGAGTTTTTAAAAGCAGACAGAAAAGGGGGGGGGGAGCAAAATATTTAGCTAATGCAATTTGTGTGTATGTGTGTGCATAAGTATTGTCATAGATGTTAAAGAGAAACTCTGGCTCAACTGCAGGCTTTCACTCAGAAACTCTGTATTTTTCTACCTCTATCTTATTTATTTATTTATTTTGTCACCGCCCATCTCACTACAGAGTGACTCTGGGTGGTTTACCGCAAAAACAGAATAAACATTAATTAAAATAGATAAATATTAATTAATTAATTAATATATACTACAATAACAAACTTCCTACATAATATTTCCAAGAGGCTGAGATTAATTAGGTATTGATAAATTCAGGGAGCGTCTTCACGGCTCCAGCCATCCCCAGGGTCGGTTGTATCTCTTCTCACCCCACACAAGTTGGCAGACCCAAGTCGTCTTTTTGGCCAACCTTTGCTAATTTGTACAAAAGCCAAGATTAGGCATTAATTCATTTGTATCTTGGCTTTTTATCTCTTAACAGGATTAAGGAAGCCAAAATAATGGCTCAGATAAGACGAAAATCAACAAAGAGAGTAGTTAATTAGCAGGAGGGATTTTTTTGTTTGTTGTTTTTTTAAAAATTCTAAATTTTACCCAGGCTTATAATATAACCAAGACAGTCATATGAAAATGGGATAAATATTAGTGCTAAATGGCCTTTGAAGTTGGTTTAGATGAATTCCAGACTCAAGCCAAATCTGACTAGCTGAAACTCAGTTAGACATAGATTCAAATAATTGGGTTAATAATCAGGATTATAATAGCTGGACCTGGAGTCTTCTGGCAAAAAGGTCTGCTGAGAACTAGCAGTTTTCTTCTAATGTGCCCTTCTATTTTTCAACAAAGAGATGGAGAAGGGAATAAGAAACATTTATAACAGTTTTTGAAATGATAGATTGAAGAGAAGTGACGTTATAATGAAAAATTATTCTGAAAAATAGATTAATTTCTTTGTGGAATAATCTAATTGGATGCTGTTTATGCAACATGACACTGATTCATTTAAGAAGTCTAATTAAAGTCTGTAGGGAGAACTCAACTAAACCCTCCTTTTCTAGATGCTGCTGAGGAATCCAGTGTTGATGTGTCTTGTAACAGCAGCTGCATTAGAAGCTTTAGTCGCTACTGGTTTTGCAACTTTCTTACCTAAATTTATAGAAAATCAGTTTGGATATACATCTAGCTATTCAGCTACCTTAGGAGGTAATGTATTTGTTTCATTCTACCAAAAAAAAAAAAAATCTCTTAAATTAGTTAATAATGGTATTTAATACTTGGAAAATGGTAAAAATAGATTATGGAAAGAAAGGCTGCAGTTTTAAGAATTCTTACTAGAAAATATCTTGTTGGATTCTGTGAATTTTTATTACTGAGAAAATTAGGTTTCTTTGATAAATTAATCAGAATACTTAGGGAACCCAAGCAACATTTTCTGTTCTGCAAGCTATTGTCCCTTGAGGGGCACCGAATCAGGGTGGGGAGTGAAGGAAGACAGGATCCTCAGTTGATCAAATGCTTCCAAGTAGACCCTAACAATTTCAAATTTGGTTTTGCTTTGTGGTTAGAATGGGCTTTTCTGAGTTCAAGTATTTCTTGCCAAGCTTGCCTTTCCATTTATGGTTAACAAATTGGGAATGGGAGGCAGCTTCTGAAAAAATTAGGTCAGAGACTGTTCAGTAGATCATCCCCTAAAATCCAGATCAATATGTGAGGCAGCAGACGGGAAGGTAGTATCTTCTAGGATGCAAATCATACTGTTGGGGTTACTCTTTGTGTTGGCCTCCCAAACAAAGAAATAAATCCCACCATACAGTGGACATTTGCAGTTTGAGAAACTCCTGCACTATTGATAAGCAAACATGCCTAACATTTTTCTTGTCGAGTTGCACACCAATTTCACTCCCTCCTCTATTTAGCCTATGAGATTCCAACTTAGTTATTTAGACAAGCTGGTCAGAGCATTCTGCCAGATACAGCAGCTTATCAACAGGCTACTCTGTCTGCTTTCCTCAGGTCTATTCGCTTTCCTTTATCTTCATTGTGGCCTCACTTTTCTCCAGTCAAACTTGGGATGAAACTTAACTTCAGAATTTATTCTTTCCAATGTCTCTATCTTGCTGGAGTTCCATGTTATGAACTTCCTCCACTGAAAAGTTATTTTTCAAGTATATCCCACTTTTCCAAAAAGATGTAGAGATGGGCAACTGGCAGCCCACAGGTGAAACACAATCCTTATCCCCCACTTTTGCAGCAACCAGAGCAACCCCTGATCATGCTGCTGACATTTGGTAGCATGTACATTTATTTTTGCAAATGATTTTGGCACTATAAAGCAAAACGTGCAAGATATAACACACCTATTTTGCATGTCCAGTTATAATGTACAAATGGATAACATACCTCTGATAAAGTTGACCAAAAGAACCATAGATTTCAGTAAAACCAGGTTTGATAGTAATTAGGTTGTAGAAATCCACTATAGGTATTCCCATCTACAAAATAATAATAGAATAAAACAAATGGTTATTGAGGACAAGGAAAGGCCCTCCTTTTCGCATTTGGAACTGTCCATCATCAGTTGATGCTTTCTGAGTACCAGAGCATATGAAAGAGCTTTCTGTAAAGTGACATTTCTGTACTGTTTTCATTGTTTGAGATCTTGTTTAATAATTGCTTTATTGGGGTGTCATCTTGATAGATGGTAAGGACCCTGGAATTGCCTCCAGCTGCTGTCTCCACCTGCTTTGTTGTACTTGAAGTCAGGAAGATGTTGCTGAGTGAGAGAGCATGCCAGCCAGGGAAGAAACTACAGTTGTGATCAGAGATGATTGGAGATATACAGTCTTTGGCATCTTATGCCTGACAACGGATTCACACATGTGTAATGTCATGATACAGTCCAGTTAAATGAACTGGCATCATTACATGCAGTGAAGGTTTAATAGCTAAGCACATGGGAACAAAAATGAAATTTATTTGAGGCAATAAAACCCCTAAACTCTGAAAGATGGATTTAATAAGTATTTAGACATGATTTAACAGTGAATAGACTTGTACTTGTACTTTTATCCTCTGCCACATCTAATTCCATATGTGACTGAGAACCCTGTCTTGATAATGTGGAGCACCTTAGTAGCTGTATTTGCAAAAGCCATTGAATCATAAATTGGACAACCACTTTTTAGCCCAGTGTGTTGTGCAAATCTAGCATGTGTGCTAAGTTTATGGTTCAGTGTGTCACATCAATCCTGAAATTGGGTTAATTAAGTCAGTTAGTCATAGATAAGTTAAGCTTGTTTGTGTGTGTTCTACAGAGTAACTGTAGGAAAGTGCATTTTTTTCAGAGATTAGCATCCCAATTCCACTTTTTCTTTTATTCACAAAAATCTCATAAAGAGAAAACATGCAAAGAGAAAAAGAAAAGAGTGACTGTTTACCATACCAATAAAATAACCATATTTTGTTCTGTTTTAATAGTGAACTTCTTTATTGTTTTATTTTATGTGAAATTATTAATTTGATAACTGTAGTCTTTGTTTTCTCTTTAGGACTTGTTTTAATCCCAGGAGCAGCAATTGGCCAAATCATAAGTGGTACCTTAGTTTCCAAGCTCCAAATGAATTGCAAAACTATAATCAAGTTTATCATTGCTACTTGTTCGGTGGCGCTGCTATTAAACATGGTGTTCGCCATTGCTAAATGTGGGAATGAACCATTTGCTGGTGTTTCTGAAACTTATAATGGGCAAGTATATGATAAAAAGTATAAGTTAAAATATAAAATGGACCCCAAGATGCTGGATTAAATCAAAGATTCTGCAGAATTCCTGTTATGTTTTATATTTTTATACAGCTCAGAGATAATGAAATGGAAAATGAAAATTGCCCATAATTAATGATGATGAAAACAGCTTACATACATATATTTCCATCACACTGTCCTTTATGGGAAAAACAGTGTTATGCAGAGCATAGAAAAATAGTAAGAAAAAGTAGAATAGAATAGAATAGAATAGAATAGAATAGAATAGAATAGAAATCTTTATTGTCATTGTACAACTTGTACAATGAAATTAATGCCACCCCAGTGGCACCCCA